TATGCTGGTTGCCAAACGGAGGTGGCACCGAGAAGCGACTGATGTCTGGTAATGGCATGATGAGTGCAAGCATGTTGGTGTGAGGAAGTTCACGGACATAGCATGTGGACAGGTCATAGTCCGGAAGAAGGTTGGTGCTGGAGAACAGTTGGACCGCCTTCTCACATACATCGCTTGGAATTCTGGAGTCAACCCTCTGGAGTTGTTCCATTGCATCATCAAGTTCATCCTGTGGAATGGACGTGTTCGGTTCAGGGCGTTCGCCTCCCTTGAGTTCATTGGCAGCTCGCATCCTGTCTGGATGATTCAAGGCAAATTCGATGTGGCGGGCCCATTCCTCTTTCGAACCGTCTTGAAGATTGATGGGAACATGTCCTGGAGGGACGGCACTGGTGGAAGCACGAGATTGGATTGATCCAGAACGATGTGGATGTTGACGTGAACGTTCGGAGGAAAAGGCAGTGAGAGGTTTGTTGGAAGACTTGTAGTAGGATGATTCATAGTGGCGTTGATGCTTGGAGGAAGCTTTTGGATAGTCAATCCAACCCGACGGATGGGTATGAGGCTGAGATTTGGAATAGTCCTTCCATTGGTTCCAGGATTTCCACTTTTTGGTGGGTGGCTGGTCAAAGGACTGGTAGCCCTGTTGGTAGTACTCGTCGTGAGATGATGTATCATGATGGTAGCTCTGATGCTCCCACGATGCAGGGTGGAGGATAGCTGGTTCGTGGCCAGGTTCATCACGGCCAGGATCATCATTGTGTGGTAGTACATCTCGTCGACGTGGAGAGGATGAGCGTAGGTTGACAGATGTAGCTCTGGTTGGACGTCTGGATGGGTCCCTCGAAGTGGAATGTCTTCGTCTGTGTGACGACCGTGGTCGAGATGAACGATGTGTTCGTCTCGGTGGTGTGGCTCGACGAGGACTTCTTGGAACAGAGATTGGACGTTTGTCCGGTGCCCCACGGTGTCTGTGGGAGCGAGAACGAGAGCGACGATGAGAGTGATGTGGTGGTGGTAGAACTTCGTCAGGTGGAGGAGGATGACTCGGAAGAGGTGGAGCAACTTGACTTGGTGATGGAGCTGGAGCAGGAGGTGGGTTCATGTTGCGCTCTTGGTTCTTGTCCACAAACGCCTTCATGCTGGACTCCACTGTGTCCTTCATCTGTTGCATCATCTCTTCAGCATTGAAGGGTGCATTTGAACTCGGTGGTGTGGACTGAGGCGCCACTGGTGTTGGTGGTTCAGGCACGGAAGGAGTGTGCTGAGGTGGATGTGGATGGAACGTGGATTGGTGGAATGGCAGGAGCTGTTGGAGGTGCTGGATATGTGTCTGAGCTTGTACTCCCAGTTGTTGATTCAAGATGTTCTCGTAGAGCCGCAAGTTGTGCCTGAGTCTGAGCTTGGAGCTGAGCCTGTGACTGTTGGTTCATAAGATCACTTCCACAAAATTGACCTTGAAGTCCCATCGCTTGTGGGTTCCAGAAGGCCCACATGTTGTCGGAAGCGGCAGGATATCGTCCAGGGAACATGGCAGCTCTGTCAGGTTCTTTAAACCAGCAAAAAATTAGTTCAAAATTGAAATGATGCATCCACAACACGTGCAAGATTCGTGATAAGGCTCAAAGGCCCTCGGCATTCAAGTCACAACCCTCTGGACGGCTTACGTGTTCAACCCCTGAATTAGGTGCACAATTGAACCTCACCAACGACCAAAAAAGAAAGAAGTACCATACCTGCAAGGATGTCCTGTTGCCTGTGAACTCATGTGAAAATGGCTGCGGAATGGCTGTCTCTTGAGAAAGGAAAGATTGTTGTCGCGATCTCCAACTATGCAGTGTCAATCCAAACGAAAGGCGAGGCCAATCACAGCGGCCAGCAGTTTCAACAAATGACGAACGACGAGGTGAAAATCGAAAGAAGGCCAACTGTTCACTTTACTTAGACGAATTACTAATTCAAAAGTGTAAATTCAGACATCGTGTTACCGTCAATTTTTAGCCTAGAAAGGCTTTCCCCGAAGGGCTCATACCACCTTGTCGGACAACGGTATGAGTGACACACTTGCTCAGAAAAGTCATTGCGAATTTTGTTGTGGAATGCATCTCACGTGCACAAAACAATCCCTTAAAAACTGCCAAGAAAATTTGTTGATCCAGCGTGAACTTCAGTGCGAAGTAAGCTTTCTACGTCCTTGCTCTGAGGAAGGTTCTGATGTAGCAGAACCATACAAATTTACTCGAAAGTAATTCCAGATTGCGACAACAGTGCAGTAAATCGAACATGTCAAATGAAACGGCAAGGTGGTCTTTGGGTTAGCCACGTCCCATGACAGCGAAGTTGTTTCAAAACAAATGCAGGTACGTCCAGGTGATCAGCCTGGATATCCTAAGGACACCATAGAGAGCTTCGTTGGGCACAGCTCTATGGGCCTTCTGTGCCCCCCTGCATGAAATAAATTGAAACCAGAGATTCAAAACCATGAAAAAACCCTTTGCATCAGAAAACCTGAAAGAAGTTTTACATCTGTGCAGATGGTCCACACACACACACATGGAGCAGAGAAATACAGACAGCAATAGAGATGTCCTGTTTTCTTCCACGGAAGATAGCCAGCAAAAAGCACACATCACTTTCACACACACCATCTTTCACGCGCAACTTTGTCACACACATACACATACATACATTCATACATACGTACGTACATACATACATACATACGTACATACATACATATGCATACTATCTTTTCACATACTTTCACACACAGTCTTTCACCACCTCCTTTGTCTTTCCTTCCTTCCCCGTCCCCGCTAGAACTTTTGAAGCTCAGTATTGGAAGAAGTTGACTTGTGGGGTTATCCGGTCCTTTAATTTCGAAGGGCAGTGGAAGGCAGGTTTGATCTTGACAAGGAAATATCATGTGGATCTCTGCAGATACTTTTCGCAATTGCAGACTGCAGGTAACAGGGTATTTGGGTCTTTGGCTGTGGAAAACGTCGGTGACCACCACTTGCTGCCTGTGTAATGAAGAATCAGTAGTGTTCTCTATCAGTTCCCACGCATGGGGATTTGGGGTAATAGATCGGTATCAATGGAGCGCCCCAATAATTCACCAGAAATACAGGGCTGGAAACCATCCCCAAATCGATGGGTTTATGGATGCATGGAGCCAGCTGCAACGCGCCGAGCCAGGCAGGCATTTGCCACGCCGGCGGCAAGATGGACGACATCACATGCGTCGCTCGGATGTTCTATTCAAGCCCAAAGTGAGGCAGAGGCTGTGACCATGATGACCATGATGTAGTATTCATTGCTATTCCCGTTCCTAAAGCAAAATTGGTGATTCGCATCATACATCAATCCCTAATAAGAGGATTCGAAATGGGACGTGTGTGTGTGTGTGGCCTGCATTCTTCGAGGTATTGCCTTGGAAAGACATCATATTCTGGCAGTTGCAAAAATACCTTACGCCAGAAGTATGTAAAATGTGGCATGTGTTCTTTAGAAAGCAAGGTTTCAACATATTGCAGCTTTCGGTCGAGCTCAATATTTCCAGCTTGCTCACATGCGAGACACAGTCCCACACGATCCCAGGTTTGCGCATGGATCTTGAGCACAGACTTGCGACGCCCCAATCCTGAGATTGTGAAGTTGATTGATGGAAACTGATACATTGAAAGCGGAATCGCTTGTATGTACTTGGTTTCGTTCAACCAGCCAAGCAGAGCAGGTGTTTCGTTGTGTGTTTTTCCCAGCTATTCCAACCGCAGGGTGGGTTCCCGTCTATTTTCCAAAAGGACAATTGCCACGGAAGGTAGTCACTGCCACGAGTGATTCTTTGACTGCAGTTACCATTCACCGTATAATATTTACCAACATGTTTTTGAGTGGATTTAGTGGGAAACCTCGAAGAGTGTTGCCTTGCCTTGTTTTCTGCTTGCGCTAGCTCCTTTCAGGATGGGATCTATCCACGTTAGTGGTCAACACATATCATCATGGAATGGTCATCAGTTGGTGAGGGATTACGTTTGTATACCATGCCATTATTCAGAATCATTTCGTCAAGGTTCATGATTAATTACCATCCATGACATGCATACTGACCATGGCTCGCATGGGGGAATGTGTTCATACATTGGTGCATATCACGTCAGCGGCATTCATTGCAACTTGTGGCATTGTGGCGCGCTGCACCGGTTCCGACGATGAACCGCGTCACCTTGCCTGAGGCCCGAGTAAAAAGTCGTATTAGCTGCGGGGTTGGGGATGAAATAGAGAAACAACAAATAAACAACGAAGGAAAGGAACACCAGGAAAAGAGCATTAGGATTACCAACAACGAAGGATAAACTGGAAAAATCAAAAGAACAAGAAAGAAAAATTCAGGTTGAACATGGCTGCACATGGTGCATGGCAAAACACTGCCAAAGCAAACACGGAATGAGATTCTGCCAGTAACAGCAAGAGCCAAATAAACACGGTCCCAGTTTCTGGTATTTGAATGGATGGGGTTTGAGGATGTCATCAATCAAGAGCCCACTTGCTTTCTTCCCCAATTTTCAATAACGTTTTTGCAAGTTGTGTTGTTAATGCTGTATCCGAGTTGGTGGACCCTGCACGCCCATAAGTTCACAAGTGGCTGGACTATGAGGGGCCTCTTCTTCCATAGTTGCCATAGTTTCCACATGTGCAGGAACGGAAACTGCTTTCCCCAAAAAAAAACCGGGATGTCTCTTCATTATTCTCACGTCATGTCTCCTGTACACCTTTCGGCCCAGGAACTTGAGCAAACATACCAGTATCAACCGTGCAGACACTATCAAAGCACAATAAAAATGGACCTCAGGGCTGAATTTGTGTGATCTTTAGTCAAACTACAAATGCATGATATTCCATGATTATAATGAATGATTTATAGGTGTGCCTTTTGGTTGAGCACTGCGAAACCGGACAAAATGGAGCAGCACCTTGCATCCGCTGTGTTTCGCATCACACTGGAAGCCATTTCTGAGGATTTGAAGTGGTTGGTTCTGTTGGTGCCCAAAGCGCGAGAGCTTTTTGGCAAAGAAGTATATTTGTGCCAACCGAACACACGGGCGGGCAGTGCTGACGAAATCTGTTGGTGAACATGTCGAATCAAAGATTGTTGAAAGGCATCGTTCAATGCAGGTTTCCGTAGATATATAAGAAGATCTATTCTTCTAGACTTTGCTTTTTCTTTCGGTAGATTCCAACTGGACTTGTACCAAAGTGATCCAAATCAGGTTTGTCTTTGTCACACATTTTCAAAGTTTTTGGAAACTATGGGGTGGGCGACCGGTTGGAATTTCAGATGTCCAATGTACGACCAATGATGCAAAGCACTTCGGGGCATGGTTGCTGCCATGTGCATTTTTTCCACTTTGGTTTGATGGCTTTGGCTTCGCGCTGTGCGGCACGGCCTTTGAGGCTTTACCACCTCGGGTGATGAAACTCGTCCCCAAAAGCGCGAATGCCGCATGGCGCATTCAAACCCGTATCGTCCTTGAGAACTTCATGTCAATTCATATCTTTTCATGAAACAACCGATCAAGTGACACACCCGAAGCCTGGCGTCGCTTGTTCTTTGGCCTCGAGCTGCTGATGGTTTTTGCGAGCTTGTCATCGCCTTGCCACTTTTGCAAGTTGCATCGTCCAAAAGTGGTCCGAGACCCTAGTGCTTTGACACTTTTGACTTCCACATGTGCCTATCGCCTAGGTTTTTTAAAACACTTTTTGAAGTTGCATCTTCCAAAATGTGTCGGAACCCCAGTGTTTAAGCGCTTTTGACTTCCAAACGTGGTTACAGCCTAGGTTTTTTGCCACTTTTCAAGTTGCATCTTCCAAAGCTGGTCCGGAGATGGTGTGCTTTGACACTTTTGACTTCCGAATGTGCTTACTTCCTAGGTTTTTTGCGCATTTTGGCCAGCCCTTCCGCCAGATGGCTCCGCACCCACCGCTTTAGCGAGCCTACACAATCCTCGGAAAAACATAGCATTTCACGCACTTCCTGACATTTCGCGCACTCGGATCTTCTCTCTTCTGACTCTCCCCTCTCTGATCTTCTGACTGCCCTGCGTGTATCCCGTTCCTCCGGCCTCTATCGGCTTTTATCCATTCTTTATCCAACCTTTATCCAGCCTTGAACCCTCAACCTACCGCTACTCCAGCCTCTATCAGCTTCTACAAGCCTTTTATCCATCTTTTATCCAACCTTTATCCAACCTTGAACCCTCAACCTACCGCTACTCCAGCCTCTATCAGGTTCTATAAGCCTTTTATCCATCTTTTATCCAACCTTTATCCAGCCTTGAACCCTCAACCTACCGCTATTCCAGCCTCTATCAATCTTGATCAGTTTCTATAACCTTTTTATCCATCCTTTATCCAGCCTTGAACCCTCAACCTACCGCTACTCCAGCCTCTATCAGCTTCTATAAGCCTTTTATCCATCTTTTATCCAACCTTTAACCAGCCTTGAACCCTCAACCTACCGCTACTCCAGCCACTATCAGCTTCTATAAGCCTTTTATCCATTTTTTATCCAACCTTTATCCAGCCTTGAACCCTCAACCTACCGCTACTCCAGCCTCTATCAGCTTCTATAAGCCTTTTATCCATCTTTTATCCAACCTTTATCCAGCCTTGAACCCTCAACCTACCGCTACTCCAGCCTCTATCAGCTTCTATAAGCCTTTAATCCATCTTTTATCCAACCTTTATCCATCTTTGAACCCTCAACCTACCGCTACTCCCGCCTCTATCAGCTTCTATAGGCCTTTTATCAATCTTTTATCCAACCTTTATCCAGCCTTGAACCCTCAACCTACCGCTACTCCAGCCTCTATCAGCTTCTATAAGCTTTTTATCCATTTCTTATCCAACCTTTACCCAGCCTTGAACCTTCAACCTACCGCTACTCCAGCCGCTATCAGCTTCTATAAGCCTTTTATCCATCTTTTATCCATCCTTTATCAAACCTTGAACCTTCAACCCGCCACTCCAGCCTCTATCAGCTGCTATAAGCCTTTTATCCATCTTTTATCCAACCTTTATCCAAGCTTGAACCCTCAGCCTACCGCTACTCCAGCCACTATCAGCTTCTACAAGCCTTTTATCCATCTTTTATCCAACCTTTATCCAACCTTGAACCCTCAACCTACCGCTACTCCAGCCTCTATCAGCTTCTATAAGCCTTTTATCCATCTTTTATCCAACCTTTATCCAACCTTGAACCCTCAACCTACCGCTACTCCAGCCTCTATCAGCTTCTATAAGCCTTTTATCCATCTTTTATCCAACCTTTATCCAGCCTTGAACCTTCAACCTACCGCTACTCCAGCCTCTATCAGCTTCTACAAGCCTTTTATCCATCTTTTATCCAACCTTTATCCAACCTTGAACCCTCAACCTACCGCTACTCCAGCCTCTATCAGGTTCTATAAGCCTTTTATCCATCTTTTATCCAACCTTTACCCAGCCTTGAACCTTCAACCTACCGCTACTCCAGCAGCTTCTATAAGCCTTTTATCCATCCTTTATCAAACCTTGAACCTTCAACCCGCTACTCCAGCCTCTATCAGCTGCTATAAGCCTTTTATCCATCTTTTATCCAACCTTTATCCAAGCTTGAACCCTCAGCCTACCGCTACTCCAGCCACTATCAGCTTCTACAAGCGTTTTATCCATCTTTTATCCAACCTTTATCCAACCTTGAACCCTCAACCTACCGCTACTCCAGCCTCTATCAGCTTCTATAAGCCTTTCGTCCGTCTTTTATCCAACCTTTATCCAGCCTTGAACCCCTACTCCAGCCTCTATCAGCTTCTATCAGCCTTCTATCCATCTTTTTGTCCAACCTTTATCCAGCCTTGAACCCTCAACCTACCGCTACTCCGGCCACTATCAGCTTCTATAAGCTTTTTATCCATCTTTTATCCAACCTTTATCCAGCCTTGAACCTTCAACCTACCGCTACTCCAGCCTCTATCAGCTTCTATAGGCCTTTTATCCATCTTTTATCCAACCTTTATCCAGCCTTGAACCCTCAACCTGCCGCTACTCCAGCCTCTATCAGCTTCTATAAGCTTTTTATCCATTTTTTATCCAACCTTTACCCAGCCTTGAACCTTCAACCTACCGCTACTCCAGCCGCTATCAGCTTCTATAAGCCTTTTATCCATCCTTTATCAAACCTTGAACCTTCAACCCGCTACTCCAGCCTCTATCAGCTGCTATAAGCCTTTTATCCATCTTTTATCCAACCTTTATCCAAGCTTGAACCCTCAGCCTACCGCTACTCCAGCCACTATCAGCTTCTACAAGCCTTTTATCCATCTTTTATCCAACCTTTATCCAACCTTGAACCCTCAACCTACCGCTACTCCAGCCTTTATCAGCTTCTATAAGCCTTTAATCCATCTTTTATCCAACCTTTATCCAGCCTTGAACCCTCAACCTACCGCTACTCCAGCCTCTCTCATCTTCTATAAGCTTTTTATCCATGTTTTATCCAACCTATATCCAGCCTTGAACCCTCAACCTACCGCTACTCCAGCCACTATCAGCTTCTATAAGCCTTTTTATCCATCTTTTATCCAACCTTTATCCAACCTTGAACCCTCAACCTACCGCTACTCCAGCCTCTATCAGCTTCTATAGGCCTTTTATCCATCTTTTATCTAACCTTTATCCAACCTTGAACCCTCAACCTACCGCTACTCCAGCCTCTTTTTATCCAACCTTTATCCAACCTTGAACCCTCAACCTACCGCTACGCCAGCCTCTATCAGCTTCTATAGGCCTTTTATCCATCTTTTATCTAACCTTTATCCAACCTTGAACCCTCAACCTACCGCTACTCCAGCCTCTATCAGCTTCTATAAACCCTTTTATCCAACCTTTATCCAGCCTTGAACCCTCAACCTACCGCTACTCCAGCCTCTATCAGCTTCTATAAGCTTTTTATCAATTTTTTATCCAACCTTTACCCAGCCTCGAACCTTCAACCTACCGCTACTCCAGCCGCTATCAGCTTCTATAAGCCTTTTATCCATCCTTTATCAAACCTTGAACCTTCAACCTGCTACTCCAGCCTCTATCAGCTGCTATAAGCCTTTTATCCATCTTTTATCCAACCTTTATCCAAGCTTGAACCCTCAGCCTACCGCTACTCCAGCCACTATCAGCTTCTACAAGCCTTTTATCCATCTTTTATCCAACCTTTATCCAACCTTGAACCCTCAACCTACCGCTACTCCAGCCTCTATCAGCTTCTATAAGCCTTTAATCCATCTTTTATCCAACCTTTATCCAGCCTTGAACCCTCAACCTACCGCTACTCCAGCCTCTATCAGCTTCTATAAGCTTTTTATCCATTTTTTATCCAATCTTTATCCAGCCTTGAACCCTCAACCTACCGCTACTCCAGCCTCTATCAGCTTCTATAAGCCTTTTATCCATCTTTTATCCAACCTTTATCCAGCCTTGAACCCTCAACCTACCGCTACTCCAGCCTCTATCAGCTTCTATAAGCCTTTTATCCATCTTTTATCCAACCTTTATCCAACCTTGAACCCTCAACCTACCGCTACTCCAGCCTCTATCAGAACCCTATAGGCCTCCAGCCTCTTTAAGCATAGCCATTGAACCCCTTCAACCTACCGCTCTCCAGCCTCTATCAGCTTCTATAATCCGCCTCCCTCAACCTACCGCTACTCCAGCCTCTATCAGCTTCTAAAAGCCTTTTATCAATTTTTTATCCCACCTTTTTCCAGCCTTGAACCCTCAACCTACCGCTACTCCATCCACTATCAGCTTCTTTAAGCCTTTTTATCCATCTTTTATCCAACCTTTATCCAACCTTGAACCTTCAACCTATCGCTACTCCGGCCACTATCAGCTTCTATAAGCCTATCGTCCGTCTTTTATCCAACCTTTATCCAGCCTTGAACCCTCAACCTACCGCTACTCCGGCCTCTATCAGCTTCTATAGGCCTTTTATCCATCTTTTATCCAACCTTTATCCAGCCTTGAACCCTCAACCTACCGCTACTCCAGCCTCTATCAGCTTCTATAAGCTTTTTATCCATTTTTTATCCAACCTTTATCCAGCCTTGAACCCTCAACCTACCGCTACTCCAGCCTCTATCAGCTTCTATAAGCCTTTTATCCATCTTTTATCCAACCTTTATCCAGCCTTGAACCCTCAACCTACCGCTACTCCAGCCTCTATCAGCTTCTATAAACTTTTTTATCCATTTTTTATCCAACCTTTATCCAGCCTTGAACCCTCAACCTACCGCTACTCCAGCCTCTATCAGCTTCTATAAGCCTTTTATCCATCTTTTATCCAACCTTTATCCAGCCTTGAACCCTCGACCTACCGCTACTCCAGCCACTATCAGCTTCTATGAACCTTTTCCCATCTTTTATCCAACCTTTATCCAACCTTGAACCCTCAACCTACCGCTACTCCAGCCACTATCAGCTTCTATAAGCCTTTTATCCCGACTTCACCTGCTTTTAGCAATGAAGAGATGGCTGGGACGCTTGAACACCATTGAACAACTGCAGAACGCTTTCGGAGTCTATGGTCCTTACAATGAGAATATAGGTTTGAGAATGCTTTGATTATTCCAAGACATTCTAAGACAATCTCACAGTTTTTCTGCAACTACTTGAATGTACCATTTCTTGTGCCAGTTGCTTTGCCAACCTTTCAGCGATGTCACTGGTGGAGGCAAAGAAACGCAGATCCAGTTGCGCGGAACACTCGTGGAACATGGTGGAACTCTAGACAACCTAGCCGCTGCTCTCCCATTGGATAGCTCCATCGGAACTTACGGTAGGGAACTCAGAGCGTAGAACGTCGGCTGACACCGACATATCTGATCTATGCATTCTATGCATCTCATGGAGCTGAATCACCCTTCTGCGCAGCCTTTGAATTCCGCGATTGTTGAAAAACTGAGGTACACATACTTGCCAGCTCCAAAATTCCCTCACAATGCACCTGGACATCAGTCGACCAGTGGCGAGCAGATACAGAATTCAACTAGGCCTGGCGCGGAGCCGTTGGAGCGGTTTGCAACCAGTGTTTGGAAATTTTGCAACCAGTGTTGCCTGTACCACTTTTTCGTATTTTTTCCTGAAGCCTCCCAGGCTGCCAGGTGTTCTCAATCCTGGCATGCGAGCTGTCTTCGGCTCAGTGATACACGTACTGCTGCAGGGTAGATCCTTTCCAGGTGCTACTTGCTTAGATGTTGACTGGTGGGGGTTGCTTCGATCTTTGCTGGACAAGTGTTTGCTTTTCAACTCTCATCTGAACTGAAGTCTAGAAGAATCTAGAAGTGAAGCTTCATTCCCCTCATGGAAGACATGTCCCCATCTGAAGCCTGACCATTCTGAAGTTTCTCAAGATATAAGTATGATTGTATTAGCGGTGTATTGAATGGTCTTGGAATGTCTAGTGAACGCGCCTGCACGTTTTTCCAGAAGGGATTATGTAGAAATGGTGAGCATTGTCCATTCGTGCACGTACTGTCAAGTGATGCTCAGAAAGTGCCGATCTTTTGCCGGTTTGGCCTTTCTTGTATGCGGTCTGACTGCTACTTCGTCCATCCTGATCACGAAGGGATGTGGCAGATTGCAATTCCATGCCGTGATGGTGCCAATTGCAGTCGCACAGATTGCATTTTTGCACATCCGGAGGGGACCAGGAACCATGAAATAGGAAAGGTGCCAGAGAAACGCATTTGCGTTTGGTTCCAGAAAGGAAAATGCCGGAATGGAATCGATTGTGAGTTTCAGCATGTGCAGGAAGAACGCGATGGAAATATCATTGTGGTCCGAAACTTGGGAAAAGCAAAGGACCCCGCGATACTTGAAATTGAACTTCTGGAGCATTTCAGGTTATTTGGATATGTCACTCGCGTCCTGGTGAAGACTGATTTGAACAGCCGATGTCGTGGATTTGCTTTCATCATTTTTGCAGATACCAGCTCTGCATCAGAGGCAATGAAGTGTCCCCATCCAGTGTGGGATATCAAATTGAAGTCCGATTTGCCAATGTATATTGAGGGTGAAAAGCGTCCAAGCCGGAAGACCCATCCAGATCGCGTTAACGCTCCATGCCGCTTGCCATTTACAAGAAATCAGAAAGTGCTGCTGCTTGGAGAAGGCGACTTCAGCTTCACTGCTGCTGCAATAGCCATGGGATGTCTAGATGCATCCCGCGCCCTTTCGACGTCAATTGAACCCCCGCGATGCCAAAAGCATCTAGAGATTCTTCGCATTAAGGGGGTGCAGTGTCGCACAGATGTAGATGCAAGGTCTTTGAGTTTTGAAGATTTTGAAGAGCGGTTTGATGTTGTCTTCAATTTCCCACATACTGGGGAGCCCAGCATTGAAGCAAACATTTCTTTGCTCAAGATGTTCTTTGAAAGTGCTATGGCCATCCTGTGTCCTGGTGGCATTGTGGCTGCTTTGAAGCAGACTTGGCCATACTCTGGGACCTCGAAGGCTGTGAAACGGCAGGTTTCAGAATGCTGCCTATCTCTTTCCGGCCAAGGAACTTCTTCACAAGGGCTACACAACAACAGACCACATACCACACAACGTGGAGCATCTCCAATCTGCAAAGACAGTGGAGTTTGTAAAGCCTGCCGTGCAGATTACTCATTTTTGATCACTTGTGATGTCTCAATGTCTCAATTGTCGGTGATTGATGCTCAGAAAAAGTCATGCCGCTGCCTCCATACCGCTTGAGACCCATCTCTTGGCATCTCTTGTTCAGTGAACCTTGGCAAATCCTCGTCACTGGGCTTTCACAGCATGGCTTGCTAAATACGATTAATATATATTTACATATATACATACCGCTGAAGAAATTGCGCTGCAGCCGAGAAGTCTATATAATATAATATAATATAATATTATATTATATTATATTATATTATATAGTATAATATAGTATAATATAATATAATATAATACCATATAGTGTAATGTAATATAATGTAATATGATATCATATAATAATCATAATATTAATAACAATATTAAAAACAATGTTAATAACAATGTTAATAACAATAGCAACACTATTTTATATATATATAATATTATATATAATGTGTATATAGACATGTTATGACATGTTTAATTGTTCCTCCGGGAGGTTCGTTGCCCGGATCGGAATGTCAATGTGGACTTTTCTTCACACATTATACTAGATTTGGGTGCCTTGTATGCCTCTTGGCTAGGACGAGTTGTTGCACGGCAACGGAGGGACATGCATTGTTCAAGCGGAAATCTAGCATTGATATTTCTGATTTTGAACAGCTATCACGTTTACATAAACGCACTACTACACCAATCATTCGAAACTGACAGTACTTTTCCTCACATGAACCCCTTCCACAAACAACTTGATGAATTGCTACAATTGGCCTGTGAAAGAAATCTAGGGGAATCTTTAGATCATGTGGACTCCACATTTAATGAGCTTAATTTGCAGGTGCTCTCAGATGCTCTCCGCCTCCGGAAAGAAGCTGAACCTTAAGAGTTTAAAAAAACTCGAATGAACTCGATCACCTTGATGAGAAGCTTGGGGAATGGAAGACGATGGAAGCGATGGAACGAGGCAGCCATCGCGTCTTTGACATTTTGAGATATTTTGAGTGTGGACAACGTGGAGTGGACTTGATGCCGAAGAGTCACCAAGAAACTGAGAGATGCGAAATCCTTTGACTCAGCGGTGAAATGATAAGAACCTTGAGAAGGGCGGAACAGTCGCTGCCTTCCAGAACCCAAAATGGAGAGTTCGCAGAACAAAAAAAGAGGAGTTGTGGCGCTGTTTTAGAAGGCCGACTTGATGCACTTGATTCGACCAGCACAATTCGAAGTATATTCGAGAAATAGCCCGGTGGCACATACACAAGTCGAAGTATATTCGAAGTCACTTGCGAGAAACCACAACTTGTACCGTGTTGGCACTTGACTTACAGTCCAGTGCTCGATGGTGTTGACTTGGAAGTCCGAAACTTAGCCTACAGACCTGGATAGAGCCTGTGTCTTTGCTGCCGTTTGTCTCAGCTGCTACGCGTTGCTACTTTTTGCTATGTTGTGATCGTGCTGAAAGGCCCATATCGGTTGGGGCACACTCCAGGGTCAGCACTCAATATTTTGGACCAAAGAAACCTAGCAATTAAGGCACAGTCAATCAGCGACTACACTAGGATGGGCTGAAATCCTTTGACTTGAGATTCCGACCTGGCACCAAGCAGTAGAGTAGAAAACCCACTGTTGGCATCAGCTGAAAGAAATGTGCGTAGACTGTATAGAATATAGACTGTATATAAATAAGTATGTATTAATGATATTTTATGTATATATATACATATATATATATGTATATATATGTATATATATATATATACATATATATATATATATGTATATATATATATATGTGTATATATATATGTATATATACATATGTATATATATATATGTATATATATATATGTATATATATGTATATATATGTATATATATATATATATGTATATATATATATATGTATATATATGTATATAATACACATTATAATACATTGTTGCAATGTGGTTTATGTTTTCAAGACTCTGTGATTTGCATGTTGCTGTTGCATGTTACAGGTGGCCCGAGCCGATGGCAGCCGGTCAACCTGACCGGGTCGTGAGACCCCAGCGGATACCATGGATAGTACTTGGGGGTGGTGAAATCTGTGATTTTTTGGTCTAGAAAGAATACAGTTTTTTTTTTTTAACACTATTTGATTGACTTTGCAGTGTCAAGACGCATATGATATATGGTGATATATGGTGATATATGGTGATATATGGTGATATATGGTGATATATGGTTATATATGGTGATATATGGTGATATATAGTCTTATGTAGTGTCCATTGCCCCGAGAAGATAATTAACCCCTGGGGGATATACCCTGAATAGTGCATGTTGGTCGAGTATTCGAGAGAATTCAGCTATGAACACATTGCCTGGTGAGATGTGGATTGAATTTGGTCTTGAAGATTGACGGTCCTGTTATATCCTTATGTTGTGGTTTAAGGTTTAGACACCAAAAGCGTCTCTTTTGAAAGGCTTTGCATCCGTTGCACTTGCGTTGCACTTGCAGTCCTTGCAGTTACGTCTGAACACAGTCTGAACACATTCTGAGGCCATGTTGGCCCAACGTATTCAGGGCTTTGGCAATGTCAACCCACCACCTCTGGAGGCTCGATCGGTTTTCAGGACAAGATCTAAGAAGCGATAGCGTTGGTCGCACAGGATTTCCTAAGAGGAATGATGGAATATAGTAAGTTGATGTAAGTTGTGATTTTTAGGGAAACCTTTGTTTTCGAGGGGTTGGCCGGTCTCGTGGCTGAATCAAATCACCACTGGTCACCAACAATCTCAGCGCAAACTTGCTGTCCTGGAACATTCCACTGCTAGACAATCTTGATCACAAAATCAGATAAATCAATGTGGAGTGCCAGGAGGAAACTGGCGCTAATATGGCGAAGAAGGTCATGGGCCGGCTAGGCGACATGGCCGGGAGACCTGTGGACTTGGTCGAGAGCGACAGCAAGCTCTGCATCATTTTCAGAGTACCGTTCGTACCGTTCTCAAACGATTACAACCGGTTTTCGTTTTTTTCGCTAGGAAAGTGCATAGCAATTCTTGGATCTCTGAGGTGGGTGAAGAAGTCATGCTGACTGTTGAGGCCCAGTGTTTGCTGTTTGCTTCATGCACAAGTAAATGAGAACAGATGAGAACAGTTTTTCTGAAAGACAAATCAAAACGCTGATTCTGAAAGTTTGAAGGTCATTCTCTATGTTTCTTTGATTCGTGAGATTCGAAAATAACATCTTGACATATCTTGCCACCATGGAAACTGCTTGGGAGATTCGAAACGGTCCCCGTCGGTGATGTCCGGTGAGGATTTCAAGGAGAAGGGCGCTGTGGGCGCCGTGAAGGATGCTGTCGCAGATGCCGGGGACATCCTCATCGATGGTGTCTCAGGACGCTGCGGGAAACATGGACGAAGAGGGAACCATCTGAGGAAACATAAGGCGACAGACACGGACAAGGAAACAGATAAGGCAACAGATACAGAAACAGATATGGACAGAATAATTGAAAGAATCTGAAAGGACTAGACTTCGGTACAGCCAAAGTACCAAAAACACGAACTCAAAGCAGAGCTGGTTCAGAGTCAGCGTAAAGTGTGATTCATTGTAAGTTTTCTCATTTTCTCAAATCTGGATCCCCCAAAATCATGGTAAGGGGAACAGATCTTCCCGGAAGGAATCATCGGGTGGATACGTGGAGAGCCGCCACCAGAAGAAGACAACGAGAAAGCAGAGGCGAGTTGTGCCAGGTGGATACATTTGCGACTGCATGCGACTGTCAAATTAGAAGATTTAGACTCACATTGGACTGCGGTGGAGACCTTTTGCACGAATCTGCAACTCATGCATCCTCATATCTATACGTATATATATATATATTATCTATACCACAATATAATATTATGTATATATTGTGTATATTATATAATACATATCGTAGTCTCATCTTTTGAAAGCCTCTTGCAGGATGCCACAAAGGCCTTGGCCTATGGTCCGAATGGTGCAGCCTATGGCATCTCTCAGGCTCAATGGGACCATGGTCGACCATGGTCGACCATCGTCGACCATCGGTGCATGGATTTGTCGCGCAGGCCTCACCCACTGGTGGCATCAATGCGGTTTGGGTCATGCCAGAGGACGACTGGGAGATGTCGTGTGTTGCGTGAACGCCCAAGGCAATGAAAACAAATTAAGCTCCATAATATATTATATTTATATATACTATATTATATATAATATATATAATACATATGTATAGGCTGTATAGGTATACCAGGCATATACCAGGTATTCAGGAAAGGCTTGCAACTGTGACACGCAGGAGGCAGACCCTGCTGCTTTGGCGCAGCTGGCTTCACAGCAGGGAGGCGGGGCAGTCAGGAATATTTGCCAAAAGGGAGATACCAAAGGGTATCTTTGGTACGGGTGTGTTATTCTGCTGAGCCACACTTTCCAAGTTAGGTACCTGAAATTTGGCACATATTTGGATAGCAGACCACTGCTGTTTCTGCAAACGATTCGTTTGGTTGATATGTTTGATCTTGGGTATGAGGGATGCCATAGTTCTTACGTTTTTGGACAGCTTTGCCAGTTCGCTCGGTGAATGATCCTCGCGTACCCAAGAATATCCAGTGCCGAACCCAGCGACACTACAGTGCTTTCCTGAAATCGTCCCAGTGACAAAAAGAACGTAGACATAGAAGACTAGGCACACATCAAAACATTCCCGCGTGGTTTTTTGAATCTTTGGCAACTTGGAAAATGTGTTCCAAATTTGTTTGAATCCTCTTGCAGTTTCGCTTATACTTTGAGGCCCTATCAACCACCAGCAGGATCAGCAAGCTCAAAGGCCCCGCCAAGTTACAATCCTATGCAGGTACCAGGCAGGGCAGTTGCTTTTCAGAATACGAAAGTGCCGTCATTGAAATGTGTAATTTTTGCAAGTGAAAATCATTCAAAATCAACCATAGACATTGATTACATATGAATACATATGATGAGAATATTATGATATGATAACATGATGACATTGTGACATGGAGTTTTGCAATGTTTTGGCACGTTTTGACACGTGTTGACACGTTTTCGCTGGCAGATTGTCACCACAGGTGGGCCGGTCATTGCACCATACACTCCAGCACCTGGTGGGCCTGCGCCCAGACCTCCTCCTTTTGTGCCGGGAGGAAATTTGGGAGGACACGGATGAATCAAGAGATGGATCAAGACGGCAAGAATTGCGTACTAAAATTAATCAGTGTAATCGGAGAATTTTGAGTTTGAACATCTTGAAAAGACTCTCTCTCTTACGACCATGGACAGCAGTTGCTGAGAAGAGAGTTGGTTGCTAGAAGATTAGAAAGTCTTTCAAGGCCTGCGAACCTATAGAACTGAGGTGTGGCTTCTTTTCATTCCATCTAAATCTATTTTGCACCGTTCCTACTCACAATTGATTCGCGGTCAACAAGTGATCGTCAACGGTTATCAACCAGAATCAACCAATCAAAAGCAAAGAAAACCACAATTTTAATCACATTTCTCGAATTTCTATATGATTTCTATATGATTTCTATGGTGTTTTTGAAGCTGTTTGGATTGCAGGACCCGGTGCAAGCCGCTGGGGCCCTGCCGGTTATGCACCAGGTGTACCAGGAAGTGCCCCAGGCCAGAGTTCTGCATCGAACACATTGAACATATGTGTTTTTTTTTTAAATCATGTTTTATATATTTGAAAATTGAGTGGGAACAATCCCAATATCTCCCAATATCTCCCAATTGTCCCAATTTTGAGTAATTTTGATGGTTGATCAGCAGTTTTCCTATTGACATGGCTATTTGTGGGTACGGTATACATGTTTGAACATCACATATCGGGATTCTTGGGCATAACATGGTGAATGCTGTGATGTGACTAAGTCCGGAGCGACAACTTGGAAAGTTTGAAGACAGCGGATTGGTCACAGCAATTAAGCACCATAGTATCGCCCGGTTCCTTCGTCCGGTCTTGCCGGCTCCTCTTACAGATTCGCTCAGACGCAGGTTCCAGCACATCGTCTGCAACAACTGGCGCCAAAGGCAGCAGCATGCAGCATTTACTTGCACGATCTCGTAACGGTCTCGCAAAGTTGCACAGTTCATGGATTCAAATGAGTTGCTGCACTTAATGTGTAGAAAGGAGGTTGGCCACAGTAAATGAATGGACAGAGAACTGTGCTGCGGCCACGGCTGAAGAAAGAGACACGGTTTTCATCGTCCGTTTGCAAATTCACTTTTTTGCAAGACTTTTGCAAGATTTGCAGACAGTTTTTTTTCCCTTTTGTGCATTTTGTGCCAGGCTTGGTAGACCGAATCTCCAAGGGGGACGTTCTGGTGGGACCAGATGTTGCAAAAAGACTGGCCATGGTCTCAAGATGTCTCAAGATGTCTCAGCAAAGCCTGCTAAACGGCACTAATCACTGCATTCCTCGGGGTTTCCAACATCCGTCAAATTTAAACTCCCAAACTCGTGTTCGACTAAGAGTTCTGGAGTTAGACACACTGTGAATTCTCCAAATATGGAACTCTTTGATGATTTTGATGTGAACAAGATAAATCACTCTTGACATCCACAGACCAAATGTTGTTTATTTTGGTTAGAAAATGATTTTTGGTACTCCACAAGACTGTGTAGTGACAAGGAGGCATTCCAAATTGTTGTTTGACATTGCGTGGTCAGGTTTCTCAATGCAATCATGCCAAGACCACTGCGAAGCAGTTGGCTGAAATGGTGCGAGTCTAAGACAATACGCGACCCCAAGCCACTTGTCGCTGAGGATGAACTTTGTGATATTTGAATCATATCTAGTGAATCATGTGAATCTGTAGCCTGACGCGTTCATCCGCAACCTCGCAGATATGTGAGAGATCTCGACGTTTGTATCTTGGTGCGAATCTCAGAGGGCTTCTCGTAATTCCAAGCGATCCAGCTTCAGAAAAGGTTCGTGTTGTACAACTTTCAAATTTATGTTTTCTTTTAAAACCTGAAAGAAGATGGGACAAAAAATGAAAAACACATCCTGCACAGAGTTGAGTGATGTATAGTGATGTTGAGAGTGGTGCACTGATGCCGTCTTCACGACCAGATCGGCCTTGGCCATTAATTGATGCGTTGCAAAACACCGTCAAATTCAGACATAAATACACCCCATATATATCCATATATACATATTATGTACCTGTATTAATATTAATGTACATTAATGTTCTATACCTAGTGTGTCGTTTTTTAAAAAATATTTTGGGTTTCAGTTTTGTTGGTACCCAGGCCTAGACGGAGATCCGTCGGAGGCAGATGCCTCGCTGGCACGACTTCTTCACTTCACAGCTCGGCCGCCCGAGAGATGTTCGACGTCAAAAGATTTTTTGGAAATTGGATCAGAACTCTGACACCAAACTCTACATATCTCTACATCATCTTCTACATCATGTTTTTTCATGTTTTTTGATGTTTTGGTGACCAACAAGCGTATCTTTTGGATAATTCGAAGAATATCTTGATACCTAGGACTTCTGTTTGTCGCTATCTCTCTGCATTAGCTGCAGAACTCTTTGCCTTTCCCGATCCTTTTTCCACGCAATGACGGTTCTGGATGGCGGGTACGTATGAGCACGTAAGGATGTCCTGAAGCAGACCGATTCGTCGGAGTTTGCAAAGACAGCAGTAGAGGAGCCCTGCAAAATTGGAACAGAAACAGAACGAATAGAGGGAAAATATGGGAAAATGGAATCCAATGGAATCGTAGCTCCCATTGGCTCCCATACTGCCGTAGCTTGTTTTTGCAGCATGCTGCAACAATTGCAGCATCAGGAGATTAAGAAAGGCGTGGCTGAAGAGTTTATGTCACTCAGAAGCAGCGCGAAACACAAGGCACGGTTCCAGCTATGGTTGCAGCTGTTGCCTTTGCTGTTGCTGTTGCTTCACAAATCTGAAACACCGAAGTCACCGGTTTGTCAAAGCAAAGGGTCCTGCGGTCTTGGATTTTTGCGTAACGTCCCAAGCTCTGACCTGAGCTTCTAATGTTTCTTAAGGAGATTTCAAGGCGTACCGTCTTTCATAAAGTGTCATAAAGTTCAAGATATTTCAAGATGAATTCATTCACTTTCCATTCACTTTCCATTGACGCTTTGATTCGCCGCAGGATACTGTTACCCCAATGCTTCAAAGGTTGGGATTCTTAAGCGGTGCTGCTGCCACAGTCACAGCCTCAGTTCTCCAAGTGACGTCATACAATGAGTACCCTCTGGTACCCTCTGGTAATCAAACATGGCAATGGAATATACATATCATATAACTCATATAACTATATACCTTATAACTCATTCAATTCAATGATTTCCCCATATTTTCCCAGCTACAAACCCCCAACTACAGACGGTTTTCAATTGCCATGTTTGATTACAGGAGCTACTACCATCAATTTGCCAACTCATGGACAGGATGGACTGGTTTTCCTGCGTTCTTCTGAATTTGTCATGTGTTTTGTCCTCGAGAAAACAAGCAGAGTAATAAATGGTTGTTCTTTTTTCGTTTCCGAGGGCGTGAAGATTTCTTGCCCTTCCTGTTTGAAATCCATGTCACATGTTTCGGGCCATGGTTTCCGGTGCTTAGGAGACAGACTTGCTGGGCGGCGCAGCAACGCAAGCACAAGAGGTGGGGGCGTCACGTTTCGCCATCGCCGGGTTGACTTAGTGAATATAGCGGCGACCATCCGATAGTGTCGACATAGTTTTATACAGACTTTTCAGTTTTTTTTTTTTTTTAAGTGCCTACACAGCTCGAGGTGGACCTTTTGGGTGGTGAGTCAGCTAGCGGTGCTGTTAGTGCACCCGACTTGCTTGGCGCTATGGATAGGCCGCAGGGGCAGGGTGTGGCATATCACAGTCGAAGACTCATAAAGACCCATGGAGACCCATGACCCATAGAGAACCATGTGCATCCTTCATCGGTGAAGAAACTTGTTCGCTTAGCAGAGGACAACGCGATTTGGTCAGGATAAGAAATGAAAACGATTAAAACAAAATCTTGGCAATCTGGAGTGGCTTGAGTGTGGCAGCTTGCATCATCCGGGGCAGGGTAGAGGGAATGTGGGAGCAGGGGCAGATAAGGGCAGAATCAGAAAAGGAACTAACACGCTATAGTGATCATTAGGGGTTTGCTCCAGTTATTTGCAAGAGGTTTCGTGCATTTGGCTGTGCAACACCTCATGGGAAAGTTGAAGGACACCTTGATTGGCCTCAGACACAGAAACCATCATGAACTTGCCCTTGAAACTGGGGAAAATTCATGAAAATTCAGGTTTATAGACATTGCCACATTGCTCCATTCTTTATATATCGTTTGTCAAAAAGTGCTATTCCGACTGATATTCTACTGCTGTGCCACTTCTAGACACGGAAGGAAGCACACAAAAGCCAAATGCAACATGATGCAAACAGGCACATGTTTTCTGCTGTGCATGCGGAATCAAATCGCACGAAACAACACCAGATATCAACAGTTGAACATTTGCTGAGACTGCTGGAACTAACTTTGCTGGAACTCTGAAGGGAAACGGTACTTCTTTGGAAGGTCGCCAGTATGTTGGATAGGTTGGGGTCAATGGGCAGCATAGTTTCCACAGTTTCCAAATACAGGTTGTGCTCACACACAATCAATATGAATCAATACATATCCTGCACATTACAAGCGTTTGCTTGTCCCATTTGTCCCCACTGTTGCAGTGCACCGGCGGCATCGCCAACTCCCGTGGTGCGATCCTCAGCTGTTTTCAGAATGTCCAAGAGTCCAACATGTCATTCACCCAGGACACGCTGGATCCATTGGCCTCCGGAACTAGCTCGGCCTCCCAAGGCACGATGGATTCTTGGCACATCTTGGCACAAAATCCACCGAAATCCACCGAAATCAATGAATTTGATTCAATTTGATTCAATTTGATTCAATTTGGCTATCCACATCTATCCACCGTTAATTTTCGCAGGCCTTTTGGGCATCTCTCTGGATGCACCGCCTGCGCCCTCTGCAGCATCTGCAGCATCTGCAGCATCTGGGCCTGCGCCAGCTCCAACGCCAGCTGTCACAGCGGCCGGAGCGAAGACAGGCGTGGCATCTCGTCGCCTTTTTTTGGTCGTCTTCGGAAGATAGGGGAAGTAATTAACATAATTCACGAAATAATTCACCCCTCAATACCTCTCATTTTGCTGTAAATTACTTTATAGATTTTATAGATTCAGCTTACTCAAGAATCTCAAGATCAAATAAATTTAATGATCTGCCTCTGCAGGTACTTTGGGGGCTGGCGCAGTGCTGCCAAAGGAGCCAGATCCTGCTAAAAACGCCGACACTTTGAGAAGTCGAAGTCCAGACGGGGAATCACTAAGTCCAGACTCCAGACCATTCAACTCTTGGCTTGAGACATTTTGGCAAGTTTATGTGAACTTTGGAAAGTACGGGAAAGGACACCACATGAGCTGGAGCCGAATCTGCAGAAATTGCAGTCATGTGGATCATGCCTTATTTTCAAGCTTGGTTGGCTTGGCTTGCAACATTGGGATAAGCAGAGAGTTGACATATGTTGGCATGTCATCAAAGTCAGCGTTGAAGGACAGCGAGAAGGAAGACATCTTCGGTTTTGTTGGTGCGGAGATGTCAAAGGCGGCTGGGGCCAGATGGGTCTAGGCGGCTAGACAGGCTTGCAGCCCATGTGAAATGGACACCGAACTTGTTCTGGTTGGAACGACACGTGACATGAAGTTTGTGGCATCATTTTGCGATATTTCGCCAAGTTTCCAGTGTTTTTTTTGAACCAGCCTTTCAAATTGGTCCTCCACAGTCCGAGACTTTTATGCAGCTTTTTTCCTGGAATCAGCGGATCCTGACCTCATGAGGCCAACAAAAAATGAGATGGGGAGGCTGGAAACAGCTGGAAAACATGGTGCGTTTCAACATGGTTCAACTGAGTTCCAGCGAAAAGTCCAGTCAGTCGCTTCACTTTGCTCCTCACTGTAAGTCCCACGACCCACGCGTGCCTTGCACAACAGGTTGAGGCTGAGTTGCGGCGAACACTATTTCTCACTCTGCTGAGTTGCAAGTGAAATGAGAGTCACCGGCATACTTTACTGGGGGCGCAATGATCTTTAATGATGACAAATGTGCAAAGGTGTTTTTGCTGTTTGCTATGAAAAAAAGAAATGGAAACGGCAAGCTGACTTGGCCAAGCCGACCATTTCAAGCGATTGCAGATTGTGAGTTCAACGGTTGAACTTGGCAACCTGGTCCATGGTGAAGTTAGGGCCGTGGAGAGAGGCTTGGAATGGCTCAAAGGGTTTTTAAAGGGTCTGGTAAGGGTTGGGAACATTCCAGACACTCCAGTTCTTGATTCCAGATCTTCAGCAACGCTTTTCTCGTAGCGGCTAAAACACCTTTTGCTTTCAGTTGTTGTTCTTGGTAGATGAGAGCAGTTTCTCGACTATCTCTATTGATCCTATGAATCTAGGACATGCGCCTTCTAGAGGCTACCTAAAGTGATTTCATGTCAGGCTTCAGGCTTCCCGCTCTAAATGAGTATAGACAGAAAGAAGGCTTCGCACTGTTCGCACAACATACTGTCACACAGCTCGTTGTCATCGTGCACCCTACTTGTATCTTGAATGATCTTGACGTTTTCCCGAATTGCATCAGTTGAAAGACATCTCCGAAAAGCCATTTGTGCCTTTCAGCGGGTGCAAAGGTCCCCGCCCGAAAGACTACGATCCATCGACAGCAAATGAAAAAATCCAGCGTTGAATCGCTGCTTTCACTGCACTCCTCATTTGTTTCTTCCTTGGCTCCATGAGTCGCTAGTCTCCAATAGACATTTGCTAACTATTGCTATATAACTATTGTTAACTCATGTACCTCACGGAGATCAAACCCAGAGGAAACACGGAGACACTCTTTACATCCCTTTACCACAGATGTGAACTTGTGGCAGCTTTGGACCAAGTCCACTCGGAGAGGTCCTGTTGAGCCAATCGGGTAACAGCTGCGCAACAGGAGAGCTCATGGGTAGCTCCCTGGCAGGAGAGATGCCTCCAGAGGCTTTCCTGAGGCGCTGTCGACACGAAAGGGGCACGACGTAAATTCCTGTTTGGAAACTTTGACCATTAATTACTACAAAAGAAAAGTAATTAATAAGGTAAGAACTTGAAGAGAGTGCTGTGACTTCTTGAAGTTCTTTTTTTAGCGGATGGCTTTGATACTGACTGGGATTGAAAGCAAGTAGGGTCTTTGCAGAGAGTCCAGTTGAAGAACTGCTGTGCAAGTGCCAGTAACTGCTGCAGGACGTTGCTTTGGTGTTGAAAGGACCCAAGCTTCGCAGTCTTGACATGCGTGAGGCCAAGCCCCGTACATCGCATTGCGTCACATAGTGCTGCACCAAGCCGCATGCCCCGATTTTCCGCAAGGCACAGAGTTGCAACTTGTACAGTAGATATAGAGGAAATCAGACAATTCTGTGACGTGATGATTCTTTTTTTTCCTCCAGATATTTCATAGTACTCGAAAGCGTCTAGCGCCCCAAGCTGAAGAATTTCAGCCCGCATCGGGCCTTGCTCAAAAGGGCACGATGACATCCCCCTGCTTAGCAAAGCCTACCTCTCATTTCTATTCATTGTCATGTATCACTATCTCCAGATTTCGGAACTGTTCATGCTTTGCTCCTCATTGTGTAAAGGCAATCTGCCTCGAGCAAGTTTTCAGCCGATGCGATGGCGGTTGCAGGCTGCCGATCATGTTTTGAGTCTGATCCAAGTGCCGTTAGAAGCTCGAGAGCCGAAAGAACGAACTGTCGAACGAAAGTGTTTGCCTCTTCGGCTGTAGGGAAGTTTTGGGATAGAACGTCTATGAACGTTTTCAGTGTTGAGTATCCAAACCTGTCTCAGTTTGGCAGGAGCAATGGCCCTTGGAGTCACCGGAGGCTTTCAGGCGATTCTAGTGACTCAGTGGTGACTGCTACTGGTGCTACTGTCAGTGTGTGGAGAGCCTAAAATGGTCAACTTCCCGGGCCCTTTGATCCTTTTCTTTTGGCCCTGCCCAGTGTTCATGTTTGCTTGACATTAAAAGACTTGACAGGATGGAATTCAACAAAGCTGACATTCAGACCATTGCAGTTGTGTGATATTGTGTATCCGTGCTCTGAAGCTGGCAGGTGATAGGAAAGATAATGAAAGATCAACAGATAATAACAGATAGACTTAGAGCAGATACACGCTAGGTAACCTAGGTATGAAATATACAAAAACCAACCCCCCCAAAAAAACTAAATCAACCCAAGTAAACCCAAAAAAAAACCCTAAGATCTGAAACTTACCCCAAACAAACCCTAAACCAACCGTAAATAAACCCAAACTAACAGCCCCCAAAAAAGAGCAACCGGAAGTAACCCCTAAACAAACCTTTGAAACTTACGCTAGATAAACCCTAAACCAGCCCTAAATAGATCCTAAACCCACCCCGAATAGATCTTAAACCAAACCTAAATAAACCTTGAACCTACGTACTTGAACTAAAACCTAAACCAACCTTAAATGGATCCTACATAAATCTTAAACCACGCCTAAAGAAACCCTAAACCAACCCTAAATAAGCCCCAAACCGACCCTAAAGAAGCCCCAAACCAACCCTAAAGAACAAAACCGATCATTAAAGAACTAAACCAATCCGGAAATTGAGATGTTCGAACTTCAAAATGTTGCAATACCGTTGAAATGGCAGCTTCCAGCTCCAAAATGCTGCAAATTGCAAGGAAAACGGACCTCCGAAAACAATTCCGGACCCGTATGGACCCGTAGATAAATAGACATGTCTATTATAGACCTGCGAAGAGATTTTTTTTTAGATGCTTGATCATACCTGCAGTGCAGTATAGTGTTCGCATTTATGCACCTACTGAATACACATAGTTAATCATAGTTATAGTTTTGTGTAAATCCGAAGTTTTTTCGGTTTCTGACTTCCCTTCGGTGTTGCGGAGGCCTCCAGACGATCATGCCGGACCCGAGAGCTTCGCGCGCGCATCGCTCGTGCTATGTCTCCTATGTCTCCTGGCGACTATGGTGTGGCAGCTCAGTGGAAGTCCCCGAAGTCCCCGCTGTTCGCGGCTGAAGTCACCGAAGTCACCGAAGTCACCTGGTATCGAGGCTTACCACCAAAGCTCGCAGGGATGGCCGGTGCTCTGTCAGCTTTACCAAATGACCGCATGCGAATCTCGGCAACGGCAACATGTCGTTTTAACATGTTTTTACCTAGACTGACTAGACCTAGAATCTAGATCGATAATTGCTGTATTGAACTTTACTGCTTTAGGCTGGCCACAGATTTGCAGTATATATTGCAAATGCGAGTCAAGTCTACAACACCAGTCGAGTCAATTGTAGCTACTTTGATAGTATTTCCCCGTGTTTTTCCCGGTGTTGGAAAGCTTTGGACTGGAGTGCAACTTAAGATACAATTTTGCAAAATCTTCTCCTTGCAGTGTTTGAAAGACACTGAGGTCCTTTGTTCAGCTTCCGGATTTTAATCAAAACCCATCACGAAACTTGCCACGGAGAACTTGCGAAGTGAATTAAAATGATCCCTAGAGAATACTCAAATTGCGAGGATACCAGCAGCTCATGGCATTGGCTGGAAAGCTCAAACCTCAGCAATGGGGGCAAGTCTTGTAGTTTGTTGCACCCATGAACCCGTGCAGCCCGTGCAGCCCGTGCACATACGGACTTTGACAGGCTGAAACCCATGGCCGACGATCTGAAAGTCCCAGAGAACAAGGTACCAGGATGCTTGAGCGTCGTTCATGCCAGCAACCTCAGTATGCAATATTCATGGAGTTGATTCTGTTGACATATCATGAAACAATTGGTTCAAGTTAAATAAGTTATGAGATGTCAACAGTTGGCATTGTAGCATTGTCAACATGGATTACTGGAGGAGGCACCATGGAACGGGTTGGAACGGGTTGGAATGGCATGTTCTGAGGTGCATGCTTCTTTGGAAGAGGACGGCACTGTAACGTTTCAGGGAGATTCCGATGCTTTGATCTCCAAAGGCAGGAGCCTTAGATAGCCTTAGAGCCAGCAAGACATAGCAAGACTCCCAAAAGACTCTGTCAGCGAGAAACCCCGCTTCAAAGAGTTGCGAATCTTGCAAGAACGAGATGTCAAAAACGTTCGGCCAAGGTTTGGTTGCCCTCCTGGTACTGTGTTTGAGCGGCTGCACTCCAGAAGAGATTGCTGGTGTTCAGCCAGAATTCATCAAGGCGAAGGGTGAGCCTTGAGAATAGTATGAAATAGTATCGTATGAATATGTATGAATATGACATAATATGACTATTATTGTGGCAGCAAGTTGTAGCAGCATAGCAAGTACTCGGCATTTTGTTGATTCATTTTCGGCTGGACAATCCACAGAGACGGGCACAATGACCGCGATCACTTTAGGAGAGAATCTCCAACTTGACGTAGGATTCACAGCAAAATGCTGGTCCTCTTGGATCTCTTGGACAGGCCTCTGGAATTTCAGCTTCCCTAACACCCGGGCGCAACAACGGATTCTTCAACATGCTACGGAGCCCAATTCATAGCCGCGCAAAGGTGATGTGATTCCAAACAACCTTTCGAACAGAGCCTCGCAATCACTTTCCATCACTCTCCTCTCAAATTCACAAAGAATCCCCAAAAAACATGTTCTTTCTGAGCAGGCATTGCTTTTGCCCCAAAAAAGTACAACTTTTCCTGCAGCATTCTTAAGCATTGCCAAGGTTCAAGTTGATGAACAAAAAGGTTGCACGGCTGAAAGCTGCCAAAGCTGCCGAATCTGGCGAATCTGGCGCCATGAAGGTCCGGAATGTCATGACATAGTCATGGCATGCTGGTTTTGGAGGGGTCTGAAAGGTCGGGAGATGTTGGGTGAAAACGGAGTTGCGGCCTCCATCGGGTTGATCAATGATCTCTTGTGATCTGTGTCCGACTGTGTCTCTCGCTCAACATAAGTGTTCCAGTGAGTGTTCCTTTGAACATTTTGATGCTTTTTGTCGCTTTTTGTTGATCATGTTTCAGTTCGCGCTTCAGTTTACTTCGTAGTTCCTCGATGTTCCTGGCCCTTTCCATCATGTTTCATACAATGTGAGGCCCCCAAGATATAAGTTGGTTTATAAGCCCCAGTAACTATAGTTATAAGTACCATAAACCATAGTTATTGAAGTTATAAACCAAGTTAGCTATCTAGGGGGCCCCACCTTGTATGTTCCATCGTTTTGGCGTCTAGGCCGGTGAAGACACGGAGACCGAGGAAACGCCGGAACTGCAGATCTACAACACGTCGGCTCCTTGGAGATCAACGAAACATACGAAACAGCTACAGCCTTACAGCAGCCTGACCTGCAGAACTTCGCAACTGAAACGCGATCAACTTCAGCACTTTTCACGAACTTGGAAAAACACACATACGGAATTATACAGTAATATTACAGTAATACAGTATATAGATGCTAACATGAATCAGTCACGTCACGTGAATCACAAACCATGAGACCAAAGAAATCCACTTACAATGCTTCGAATATCGAATGGCAATTTGGGAAGGCTCAGTCGAAGCAAGGAAGCGTTGGGAGCACAGAGGGCCGGCTGAGTGAAAGCCTGGCATATGCTGGCATTGAGCTGGATCAAGAAGAAGACCTAGTTATCAAAATGAATGAATCAACTATCAATATGCATAAACTATGAATAAAAAGATTTCCTTGCAAATTCTTGCAAAACATGCAGTCTTTCAATAGTTGTCTTGATTAGAACTAAACACATTAGACACATTGACACAAATCTCAAGTGTCTTTGCTTGGATTCCTTGGATTTCTTGAAGAAATTGCTGAATTTTTAGGTTTAAGACCTTAGAGCCTGGAAAGGTGAAGATGTATGTTTGTCCACGGCTGAGTTATCGAAGGCGATCATTGGAGAGATCCCCGAGATCCCCGAGATCCCCAGCTGTTTCGATCAAAAACCAAGGTGGCGTCACTGTCTACGATCTTTGCCATCTAGGCCATGAAGACTTCACACAGAGATATGGCACGAAATGGTGGACCCTGGTAGGCCGTTTCAGGACTGCGGTGAGGTTTGAAACTGGTGTTACAGTGGTTTGACATGTAGTCCATACTTGAATTCAACACAGAGATGAAACATTGCCAGCAAAGGTCAAAGAATGAGCCTCCTTCATTTGTGTGAAGTTGACTTGACACGCACTGCAACACAGCTATAGATGCACCTGCAAATGACAAGCCACAAGCAGCAATGGGAATGATGCGAGGCCACGCGCGCGTCATGGTGTTCTTTGATATTGTGGCGCGGTTTCTGAGGCAGGGTATTTTGTGTATTTCATTTGTTCGGAATTGCTCCAAGCATGAACAGAGTTGATTTATATGATTTGTAACACGTTGGTTTGGGAGCTGCAGACGGCTCTTGGACCCAAGGCATTTGGGCTACGATGTCACTTTTGTCCGCAATGTGACAGACATTGAATCCTGGCCAAAGGATGTGCATCAGATGTCCATCCAATGAACCAAAAAGATCCAAAAAGATCCAGATCAACGAAGAAGCAGCCAGGCCACACTGAAAGCCCGATTTGGAGCTGCATTGATTCGCTCAGGATGACAAGATCATCAAGAGAAGTCAGGAGACTGGTGAGACTGCCCCTTGACATCCCTTGACTCATTTTGCGACACAGACTTTGATCAGAATCTAGTGCGGCAGGAACATAGGGAAACAAAAATAAACAAAACAATATAGATAGGGAGATAAATAGAGATCTTAATAGATCTTAGTAAATAGGAAGTTCAACAGGGGGACAACTAGGGAGATGATTCCTGCTTCAGTGCAGATCAAAATCTGTTGGGTTCATTGTGAAGCTCAGATCCTGAGGCAGAGGAGTTGGCCCGAAGGCGAGGCACTAGTGGTATGACACACAGTGCCATTGTGTTCATTGAGCAGTCCAGTTTTCCAACAAATTTGTTGCCTTGGCAAAGTTCACCATGACCAAATCATTCATTGATGTACAATCATGGAAAATGACCTTGGAAAATGCACTGTGCACACTTTGCATTGTTGTGGCAGCATTGTTGTGACATCGTCGCAATCCTAACAGCTCCCAACAGCTCCCAACAGCTCCAAACTCAAACATCGTACGGTTTGTGGAGCTCTTGAGCCAGGATGGAAGAAGAGATGGCTCGGGATGCAAAAAGTGAGCCACTCCCAGCTTGGTTCGATTGGACAATCCATTTGATTGCGAACCCATACAACATATACAACTACTATCAACTACTTAGTGTACGTAAATGATCTTGGTTGCTGTTTTCGCCAGACGTCTGAAGAGGCGACTGTGAACGACTGTGACATACAGTGCCTACGAACAACTTCACATGGGAGGAGCAGACAATAGACTCATCAGACCTGTTTTTTTCCCCAGAGTCCACTCAATCAGTGAGCATGTCCTTTGCCAATTCCCAGTTGGGAAGTGTGGGTCGTTGGCTTTCCCACCTCACTTTTCAGGCTTGGGCTGCACATCGCCAGACTTTGAACCGTCACTTGGAGCAAGAGAACAGCTACCAGGGACCCTTGAAGTCGAAATCGGAAAGGCTGGTACAACAGGATGGTTCGTTTTGAAGCGACGGTGCTTCCAACTCGTAGTTTAAGAGGCAATGCGCAACACAAAGTGGCCCCAAAAAGACCCGCCAGTCACCGAGCACATGGACCATGGACCTGCCAGACCTTGTGGGAACGTGGGGCCGATGTTTTGACCCCAGGAGAGTCTCTGAATCGATCGAAGAGATCACTAGCATGGTTGGCTTGGGCACCCAGTCATAGCTGAGTTGAAGTAGCTGAGTTGAAGTAGCCAAGCGAAGCCAAGCGAAGCCAAGCGAAGCCAAGCGAAGCCATTGTTGCAGTAGTTATCAGTAGTTGCAGTACAATTCCTTTGCAAAGTGGTTCATAGCGGTTCCAAAGGAGACAGATGGAGACAGTATGATTTGCGTATCCAACCTGCGCGATTTCTCCGAGAAACGCTTGTGAAGAAGGACTTCGCATATGCTGGCAAGGCACCGCGATGCAATTTCCTGATGTGTTCACATTTTTGAAATTTGGATTAGCGTGACGTGTTTTGGATCCCATGCAAATTAAGGTGAGGGCTGAGAAGTATTGGCATTGCCCAACAACGACCCAACAACGACACTTCGTTTGTCAGGGCGATGTGTACTTCCGAGTGCGACGCTTTGAGACCTACGGGCGGCTATCCAGGAGGGGCTCAATAAATTGCAGCGCTGATGGAGCGTGGTTGAATCTTTCTTGTAGCAAAGGTTCTTTCACTGCAGGTTTTGAGCAAATTATATAGATAGAAACAAGTCAGGGGTGTTTATGGTGAAATGTAGATGGTCAGTCTGCGATAGGATTCTAGTTTTTTTTTTCATTGCCTCAGATTGACTTGTAGCAATGTGAACTGCGAAGCAAACTCGTCCTCTCTTTCCGGTGTTTTCTTTTACCATTTGAAATGGGTGTGTGCGTTCAAATATTTTTGCTGTACCTGTTAAGACGATCCCAAGTCTTCAAAGTCAAGTGACAAACAAGGCAACTTTGTCTTTCCAAAGGGTTTAAGTCATCTGTTGCCACTGGCTGTGACCTTGATTGGAGGTGTAGCTTGGATGGTAATGAAGCTGGTGCACGCGTCGAGGCAGTCGGGGTGGGATTTGTTTCAGCTGATAGACAAATAAATAAGAGTAATACGGTGGGCCACAAAGTACAGAGTCAGTGAATGTAACAGATGTATGAAAATTCAAGTCATTCAAGCCCCATGCAAAAGTGTTGCAAGAGCGAATATGTTTCAACTGGGCGGTTTGCCTCATGCCTTATCCGAAATGTTGCATATTTGTTTCTACTTGTCCTGCTCTCACAGCTGTCCTGGATGGCATCCTGGGTATATTTGGATCATATTTCCACATAATTTTCACATTTGGCACTGCACAGGTGGCTGACGTCAAAGAGGCACCGGAGGATTTCGTGCTGTGGAAGTCTGCAAAGCCTTCAGAGCCTTCCTGGGAGTCACCATGGGGGCCTGGGAGCCAAGCCACACAGAAAGGTAGCCTTTGCTATAGCCACTGCCGTATAATACCGTATAATACCGTATAGCCAAGTTATGAGGAATTAGGAAGAATTAGGATACATCGATTCCCACTATAAAGGAAGAAATCATATGCTAATAATAATAATAATAATATATATATTATAATATATTGATATATATTGATAATGCATAGACTTAGAACTGAGACACTTTTTCTTGAGCTGGTCACAGGCCATGACATCGTGAGTTACAGCTCGTGTTCGTGAGGCCTGGTCGACCTGGATGGCACATTGAATGCAGCGCCTGACTCTCAGCGTCGATATGCGTCGATCCATGTCGATCCAAAGTCTGGGAAACTGAAAAAAATCTGAGCTTTGCGAAAGACCACTTTTATACATTCGTAGACATTCGTAGACTCTCAGAATCTGAATCTTGCTTTGAGATTGTGAGGCGATGGCAAAGCGCTACCTTGGCGATACTCTGGACATCCACGGCGGAGGGTTGGGAAACCAAGAGGACTTGGCAGATTTGGCAGACTGCCTTGAGCCGCTGCCGCTACGACACTTGCTCCTGCAAGGCCGGATCTGGTTTTCCCGCATCATGAAAATGAAATCGCACAAAGTCCATATCTCAGAGCTGTCTGAGCTTTCGAGAATGTGATGAATGTGCTGAATGGATGTCGGATGTGTGTCGGATCAGATCGCGGATGTAGCTTTGAGGCGAAGCAGCCAATGACCAGCCATATGTCAAAACGTGGATGCATTGTGCGGCTGTGTTGGGAGCCACAGCGCATGTGAACGGCTGCACCCGGGTGCACCAAGACTTTGCTGGGACTGTTCACACTTGCACATTTACTTTACAGGTAATCCATGCGCAAGTGTGAACAGTCCTGGGAGCGTAAAATTCGAGAGCTTGACTGGAATTGAAGCTCCTGCGGAGACGCCTTGCCAGAGTTGAGCAAGCTTCAAAATTCTGAAGGAACTTTGACAACATGTTTGTGAGCAAGTTGCAAAACGTGTTGCAAACGGTACAATAGGATTGAGATTTATTAAGATGATGTAATTAAATGTAATTAAAGCATATTAAAAAGCATATTGAAGCTGTGTATACATGTAATACATTGTACATGTTTCTTTTAATGGAAGTTCTTCGCTTGGCTTCCCAAGGCGAAGCACTGGCAACGAGAAGATGTCAAAATCATTGGGAAACTTCGTGGGTGCCCACAGCGTCACAGTGCTAGCGCAAGGTGTAGAGTCTCCAGAATTCTTCAGATAGTCTGTAGAGAATCTGTAGAATCTGTAGAGTGTTTGGCAGTTTTTGGTGTTTGTTTCGTGTTTGATTTGTTTAAATCGTGCGATAGTCAGCTTGTGGTACTTTGGCTACTTAATCCTACTTTTTACATCTTTTACCGTGATTCATTACATAGCTGAGTTAGCTTTGAGAGTCTAGGAGCATGCACTTTGTAACGGATTGATGCTGCTCAGCTGTCAGCTCCACATGAGCGAAGGATGCGAAACGGAAAGTCATGGCAATGGCCCGCATTGGACAGTTCTTGTGTTTTGAACCTCCGAACAGAACATAAGACAAATCAAGCGATCAAGACACTATGTAACAGTGTAACACATTGCTCTCCAGCAAGGATCGTGGAAGATGTGGAGTGTCGCCCAGGTCACCATCAGAGATGTGCTCAAGCAGTACGATGGAGAGGCGCAGACTGTGATGTGTGCTCCAAGGTGACTTTATCTTTCATGATGCTTCATGTTTCACACGCGTTTTTTGATACCTAGACTCAGAATCTTCGGATATAGTTTCATCATGTTTCATCATGTTGAATCTATTAGATTAATACATACTAATACAATGATTGGCTGATCCTTCAAAAACCATTGATATCAAGCTTCTCTTGTGTCCTGGCGGCATCGCCAGTAGCCAAGTCGCTGGGTCCTGAACTCCCGGAGGATTGCTATGATTTGGTGTAAGTTTGTACTGTAATTATGTCTATAAATATTTGATAATATTTGGGTATGTATTATATTATATATATATCAATATCACTATCAATATCTATATATATAATATATAGTCGTCATATTAGTTTAGGGTATGTTGCATTTTGATACACTATGAAGGCATTCTTGTGAGATTCACCACACATTGGCATAGAAGATCATGCTAGTTCCGGCACCCTGCACACTTTCAAACTCAGCAAAGTACCAGAACGACAAGAATTTACCAGACATTTACGGCCGTAAACCATGATAAGATCATTGAATCATTACCGAATCAGTATCATGGTGTATGGAGGTGTATCAAGTCCTTAACGTCTTGGCGTTGCAGGTGGTGCGGTTCTACCTCTTGAGCTCCCAGTATCGAAGGCTACTGCAGTGCATAGAGCAACTACTTGGCCTACTTTCAGTTGATGTAACTGCAATTTGAAGTGGAACAAGTGGAACGCCTACTTTGCGGTAGTTACTCAAGCAACGTTGCTAATTACTGTGTTTCAGGACACAGAACACCAAATCCAATTTGGACTTTTGGTGCAAAGTGGATGCATTTGGACATTTCTAGATTGCATGGACATCTTGGACCATACAAAGACATCACATAAGAGAGTTGTCAATGACATGAGTTTGGAGATAAAGGTCCGTGGTGCACGGGAAAAGCGTTTGCAACTCGACAACGGTCATAAAAGTGTATCATGTTATTATCATATTGTTACGATGTTGTTATCTGATGATTTTGGTGTTCTATTGATAATCATTTATATGGTATTATATTTATATATTGCATTAAGTTCATGAAAAATACCTCGAGGCACCTGCCGTATGTGGAAGATTGTGGAAGCGTGGGAAGACTACAGAATTTTGTTGCTAAAAAACGTGGGAGTCTGTTTCCTGCGCGCTCTTAACAGCTTTGCTGAACCGCAAGAGTCTCCTGGGGGCGATGCTGCCAATTGCGTTGCATTACCCAATTTTGTCAGTTGGTGTCATGGTGAGAATAACTTTCCTCTTTGTTGCCAGCACATTGCATTGGTAAAGGTAGATTTCATGCTTTTAAGCTACCTTGCAGCTAACCTGTGAAATATGTATGTAATGTAATGTACTGTAATGTAATGTAATGTACTGTACTGTACTGTAATGTAATGTATGTATGCATACCATATATAGACGTGTTGTTGTGTCCCTTCTTTTGTATGACGTGAGCGCAGGCCTATGATGTATTCGGAAGAAGCCTTGGAAGAGGTGCCAAGATGCCCATGGAAACACCATAGCAGCTATAGATAGCTATAGATAGCTATAGCATGTTTAGATGTGGCCGTTTTTCTTATTTCTTGGGTCAGATTGGAGGCGCAGGAGCGTCTGCTGAAGCTCTACAGTTCACTGCGGGGAGCCGCCGGAGCGCAGACGGAGTCGCCTGGGCCTCGACTCGACTTTCGACTGAGAAGAGGCGAAGACGAAAAATTCCAACATATTCAAAAAAAATAAAAGACGTGTCTTGCTGACTGCAATGCTATGTCAAACAGTTTTTGAGACTTGGCAATTGCTTGGACACTCTTGGAACCTGGTTGATTTGAGAAGTAGCTCAATCCGGTGGTTCGGTGGTTTGCGCGTTGCAGAATCAACATGGATCAAAATGGATGCACCATGGGCATGCACTCCAGGCCAGACCCTGAGTGCGAGCCACGAAGCCTAGTCCCATCACGAGAGTGGCATTCTGGCACTATGGGTAGGATATGGTAGGATGATGTACTGTGGAATACTATGGAATACTATGGGTCAGGCTGCAAAATACAGACACCTCGAGCCGCTGGGGATAGAAATGGGACGTACTAAGTGACTTGAAGGCCAGCAAGTGGTGTGCGAAACTTGGTTTCTGAACTACTGTAACACTAAGGTTTCCTCATTTTGTCAATAGAATCGTGGAATCTGAATATAATCAGAATTTCAGAAGTTTTCAAGTACGCTACCGCACCCTACCCCACTGACAGACAGCTCGACTTGCCAAAAAACTCTGTGCAAGCATTGTCCTGTTGTCGCCTAGATGTTACTGGATGAGGCAGCAGCACCGCTTTTTGGCCGCCATGGCAAATGCGTCTTGGCATGCCAAGGGGTCATATATGGGTCATATATGAGTCATATGCCAGTGAATTCTGACCGCCTTCAGGATACGAATCTCTTGAATCGACCCACGGATCACATGCGGAAGCGCATCGCGAAAGCAGCATTTGACAGAGATCAGATAGAAGTGTCGGTTGTGGAGCGGGCAGAACATACTCTTCTGCCCATGCTTACAACGCTTACTTACAAAGATGTTAGACTAGTGTCCAGATTTTTCTTTGATAGAAAAGTTATGAAACGCTACTTGGATCACTCAGATCACTTAGATCTTTTCCAGGAAAACACTGCAGTATTTGAAGTCTTAGGATTTCGACACTGTGAACGCAATCGCAGCAGGGAATCCAAGACGCCGCTTGCGTTGCGGAGGTCCCACCTGGACGGTCAGAGTTTTTTGTGAGTTTTAATGCACTGTATTCGAGTTTGAGAGTTTTTTCAATGTCTCTAGTGATGATGTGTTCTGTGTAGAACTATGTAGAACTCTTTCCCATATCCAATCATATAGAATTGTGATGAATTATGTGCAGAAATCATCAGAAATCAACAGTCATTCCATCTCATAGATCCACAATGATCCACAGGTAACAGATACGATAACATATTGTGTCAAGATATTTCCAAATTTCCAAATTTCCAACATTTGTCAACTACATGAGCCCTGGGCAGCCTAGGCTCTGACAGACTTGTCCAGAGAGCTGCTGCAGCTTCAGCAGGGTTCGTCGGGCGATGTGAGAATGTTGGCTATGGATGTGATTGTTGCAATGTAGGCAATGTAGGCATTCTATGATTTCTATACATTTCTATGTTATTGATTTCATTGTGCATTTTTCATTTCATTTCATACACACAATGCGGCATATGATGTCACACATGTAGGAAATGTCAGTGCGTGAATGTCGGTCCTCAACTGTTCTCAACGCATTCTCTCACGCTCTTCGTACTCTCGAGTTCGGATTTGTCAAATTTTGTCAACACACCGGGGGCAACGCTTCACTTTGGTTCACCTGCTCGCACTGGGCGCACTGGGCGCACTGGGTAGGTGATCATGGTGCCGAGTTCCAGACCAAAGCAAGGCCACGGGGTGCCATCGAAAGTATCGAAAGGAATCAGTGCTTTCATAGGGTACCGGGTGGTTTCAATTGCTGTACAAACTCTTTTCCAGCTGATTCAGACTGATTCAGACTGATTCAGACTGATTCAGACTGATTTGCACAAACTCGTTTTATGATTTGTCATGCCTTTGAGGCAACTGCGCGCCATGGGAGCAGTTCTTGGGATTTTGCAGCAACTTGGTGCATAGAGAACTCTTATGGGGTGACGAGTCGACGAGGGCTTAAGGATCTCAAAGCTAGACTTTAACGACACTGGCAACGTGTGTCCATGTACTTTATGCCAATGCTGGCACCTACTTGGTCGACTTTGGCAAAATGCTTAGTCATGCCTAGTCATGACTAGTCCATCCTTCAGCTTGTTCATGCTTTTTCGCTCTTTCATGCGCTTTCACCTTAGTTGACAGGTTCTCTGTGACTTTCTGCAGATTGTCTCCAGGTTCTCTCCTGTCTTTGCACAAGAAAGCACAGCATCCACAGCCATCCACAGTGCCTTCAGAAACTTCACCGAGGCGAGATCCCGAGGAGGTCTGCAAAGGCCCTGTGGATTCCGACTTCGAGGCAGACAGAAACAAGAAACGCATGAGACACACATGAGAAACAAATAGAACCCGATAGATCCCAATAGAAACAAATAGAAACACATAGAAACAAGAGATAAGAAGAACAAGTGGGTTGGATTTTTTGTCGAGATAAGAATAATTCAACATTGATTTCTGTTGAGATAACAAGGGATCCTTAAATTCATCAAAGGAACAATTGTTGAACAGTTGTTGAAATATGTGCAGTTCTTGAGACGTGACGAGACTTGAAATGTGTTGGATGTATCTTATCACGAAAGCTAAAGTCAGCTAGCTGGAGTCTTCTTGCTTTAGCAAGTATTGGGGGGGCTGCTCAAGGACATCACGTGATTTTTCACGCGAACCCCCCCCCCCCCCCCCCCCCTCCCCCCCCCTTCCACCACCACCACCATCACCACCATCATCATCATCATCATCGTCATCATCATCGTCATCATCATCGTCATCATCATCGTCATCATCATCGTCATCGTCCTCTCCATCGTCCTCGTCCTCGTCCTCGTCCGCGTCCTCGTCATCATCATCATCATCATCATCGTCGTCCTCGTCATCGTCCTCGTCATCGTCATCGTCATCGTCATCGTCATCATCATCATCATCAGCATCCTCGTCATCATCATCATTATCTATCTATCTATCATCATCATCGTCATCATCATCGTCATCATCATCGTCATTGTCCTCTCCATCGTCCTCGTCCTCGTCCGCGTCCTCGTCATCATCATCATCATCATCATCATCATCATCATCATCATCCATCATTCATCATTCATCATTCATCATTCATCATTCATCATTCATCATTCATCATTCATCATTCATCATTCATCATTCATCATTCATCATTCATCATTCATCATTCATCATTCATCATCCATCATCCATCATCCATCATCATCATCATCATCATCATCATCATCATCATCGTTATTCAATTACATTTTATCATTATTGGCAATTATTGTCATTATCACGAAAGCTAGCGTCAGCTCGCTAGAGTCTTCTTGCTTTAGCACGTACTCCGGGGCTCCCCAAGGACATCACGTGATTTTTCCCGCGAAAGGGCCCCCCCCTGCCCCCTCCCCCATATATATCATTGTTATATATCATATATCAATATATCATTGTTGCATCCTCGTTGGGACGAGCAATGCCGCGACACGATGATGACAGTCCCTCCGCAACTCACCTCTTCCCTTCCTTCTTTCTCCTACCCCGCTAGCTTTCGTCATCCACCCCCGGCCTCAAGTGTATCCCCCGGTTCAGAACGGTGCCACAGTATTTTCTCATCTTGGTCTACCAGCCAGGCAAAGGTGGAGGATCTGATCCAGGCTTGGTTTGAGACGACTTCAGCGACAGAATGACATGTGATGCAGAGACCAAACCGATGCTCTTTGAAGATATTGTATGCTAACTCAGCTAGCATTTCTACATATTTCTACTATGCCCTACTTGATGCGTTAAGCATAGCAACCGAGGATGCCACTGTTTTGTTCAACGTGTGTGACTTGTTTTGACCTTGTGTTGACCTTTCAATTTGTGCAATCGTTTTTTCGGAAAGCCACTGCCCAAACGGTGGAGCTCATTGCGTTGCCGCGTTGCCAGGCTCGTGCCGATGCGCGGAAAGCCAAGGACTTTGCCAAAGCCGACGCCATCCGAGACGAGCTCACAGGCACAGCTGGCCACAGCCGGCCACCACGGGTTTTTCAAGTATCTTCCGAGAAAGATCAAAAAAGTCTGCGAAGGCCTTTGAGACTTTGCAAGATACATGAGTTTCTTCTTAGCAAAGAATGGAATTGGGAATCGGCAGCCTGATTCATCTTGATTCATCTTGATTCATCTTGATTCATCTTGATTCATCTTGATTCAACTTGATTCATCTTGATTCATCTTGATTCACCTCCTTCATGCGATTGTTGGTTCTGATTCTGTTGATTCTGCTGTGTAGACAAGCTCTCCAGTGTGCAGGCATGGGCGTAGTTATCGAAGACGGTGCTAAAGGCGTGAGTTTTTTCGATGTGGATTCTGGTGTGCCATCGGGGGATGGTCAGATGTTCATCATACCCCACGATTCGGATTCTGGAAATTCATCATGATTCATCATGATTCGGATTCCTGATGGGATGACCAATGGATGACCATCCATCCATCCATCCATCCATCCATCCATCCATCCATATTTCATATAGCATCATATACCATGCTTTGACCTTGGCACATGTAACACACTTTGCTATCCCGAAACAGATCACCGAGATTTGCCCATCAGAACCCTTGTTATTTCGAGTACGAGAGCTTTGTCCAGGAACCTCCTGGCGTGTAGCCTCATTGGCCTGAGAGAAGACAAGAGCCATCAAGAACCAAAAAATGAGTGGATTCCAACTGAAACATGCTGGGTTTCATGCTGCTTATGCTGCTTGGGTTTGATGAGCTGTGCTGCATGTGTTGTGAAAGGAGATCCCGCCAAAAACATCCAACTGGTCAACGGGAAAAGATCCAAAAGGAATGTCTTAGCAACTCTCATTTTAGCAGATATTCTGTCCCAAAAACCCTTTCTCGAAATGTATGCCCTGAGGAGAATAGTGGTGATAGGATGCAAGACTTGCGGTACAACAACCAAGTCCTCGTGCACACCCTATAGCGCGCTTGCCATGGTACATAGAACCTGGATGCTGTTGTGAAATTCCTTGGTGTTTTTTTTAAACCGTGGCGTAGACAAACTGAAAATTGACGTCTAAAGGCAAAAGATCCTGTGACATTTGGATACGTTTCATGATACATTTGGTTGTTCTGCGGAAGCCTTCCCAACTTAACAGCATGATACAGCATGGCAGTGTTTCACATTGGATCTTCTGGAGCCATTTTTGGTCAAGTGGCGCAAGTTGTGCTCGGTTTGCTCCCCTCCAAATGCCGGAACGAGATGTGGAGAAGCCCTTCCTGTTGTTCATGCCTCTTGGCCAGTCTTGGCCTCCATACCTCAAGCAGGAATCAAGCACAGAGGAGATTCACTCACCCAATATCAGTTGTGTGGGCGCTTCAACGGGCCCTATAACAACTATCATCAACATAATGAACTATTGGTTCCCTTACAATATCCTTCCTATACTCTCAACGATACTCGTCGTTGAAGATATTTTTTGTATGTTATTGGATAGATATAACAATATCTATATACAATATACATATATATACAGGTACTATTGGATATCATATGATATCAGCTAATATCTATGAGCTAATACATGCTAATACATGCTAATACCTATCCAACAGCGTTTAAAAAAGACCTGTTTCTTCGTTCGGAGGTTCTTCATCTCTGCCAGCTTCACCTACGGCGCCCTCTTGGTCTTTCCGCTGTACCAAGCCCTCGCGGCCTCCAAGGGGCAAGAGGAGGCAGCAAGAAACCACGTTAGAAACCTATAGTGGTAACATGTGGTAACTCTGGTAACCAGCAAAATGAGTCATCAAAAATATAGTGTCATATTAGATCATATTAGCCAATTCAATAGCAAAATTGGCAATTTAAAGTAAATGTATAAAGCAATATGCTATAAAAACATATAAAGACATGACAAGAAACAAAATATACATCCAACTACAATGAAGTCCGTTGAGGTACAATGAGGCCATTCAATCAGGTACATCTAGATACAGGCTCAAGGACTCCACCTTAGGCAGCAACAAAGCGCCTTGTCGTCTCAGCGACAAGGGATGTCAATGATGTCAATAGAAATTCATATATTTCATGAGCCTTTCTGCTCATCAGCTGGCCGTTAAACAAGTGGTGTCAATTTGTTAGCCGCTGTGTCTCCACATGGTCACTACGTCCTGGTGCACTAAAAGGTCTTGCTTGGAAGAAATGTAGAAGCACAAAATAGAATCATGTAGGACAGAAAGCAACGGACTTTGTGACTTTGTGGGTCCAAGATGGTCCAAGCAGTCGACATCTGTTGCATTGGGCTCAAATAGCTTGGACATTCTTCATAGGAAACGCTAGGAAACTGGTCTAGGAAGGTCTAGGAGCAGTCTAGGACACCCCAAATTTTGGGCGAAGTCCGCATCTTGATTCACAGTTGGAATCACTGCATATACAGCAAATTTCATTGTCCAGGCCCAGGCAAATTTCAGTGTCCGTTCACCCTGAAATTCAGAGTTGGTGCCAGTTGCTTAAACAGGTCTGAGGAAACAGACATGATTTCCATGGATTTCCATGGATTTCCATGCAGAAATGCAATGTACAATAATTAATGGACATCAACGCACGACGCACTGGGGATATCTGGGGATGAAATCTAAGACTCAAAACTGTTAAGACCTGGTCACTGCCATGCAGGTTGACAGCGCGCAAGGGGGCATCATTTTGATGTGCTCTTGGCAACAATGGGATCCGGCTTAAATTTGCCTTCTGTGTTTAATGTGTTGATGCAGGAGAATCGATTCCCATGATTTAGGACGACGTTAGTCCGGTGTCAGGTGGTGATTCTGCTCAGCTCCACAGAAGAAACGACCGGTACAGTTGACAATTTCCTCAATATGTTATCCACCATAGTTGATCAACGTGCATGGGAAATCGCCAGTGTCTCTGAGGGTGGCAAAGTATTTGTCGATCCTGACGCACAATCTCTTGAGCCGTTGCTGGAAAAGCCTTCGAGGGCTGCAATTACAAGTTTCCTGCAGCTTGGTTCGCAACATGCCTACCATGATCCTACCATGCCTACCATGATCCTACCATGCCTTCACAAAGTTGATCCAATTCTGCTGTTGTGACGTTGTGACACATTTGACGCGTTTGACATCAATGTCCAGATGCCGAAAAAATCACTGGTTGTAGTTGGCTATAGTTCAGCAGGAAGTCAAGGAAAAAGACTGTCTATTTGTCGAACTATAAAGCATGTTTGCTTTGTTATCTTGGAAGGTGCACGGTCCATCAATGTCCAGCATCATTTCTTTCAAATTTGCTGTGCTGCTGAAGGTTTAATTCAACAGAAAGTCTGTCACCCCCGAAACCAAAGACATTTACAAAACAAACAAATAGAAAGAGAAAGAGAAGAGAACGCAGAGACACCAAGTACCCTGTCATTTGTCAGTCAACTCGTTTTCCGAATGCACGTTTCTTCAGGCTACCTCATATTCTCAGCTGTGTGCTTGTGTGTTGCTGCTTCACCTGTCGTGCCAGAGGTGCATGCAGTATGCAGTCCCAAGACCTTTTCATACCTTTTCCATGTCAATTTCAGTTGAGAAGAAATATTAGAAGAGGCATTCAGCTCGCAATTTTCATTCCAGACATGATAATCATGATCATTGGTGGATTCGCATGCACAGAGCTTCTTGTTTCTTCCAAGTTGACATTTTTGTTACGCTGAATCTCCTCGACATGCAGGCAGGCACATTGATTGCAGTGTCCTCCTTGTACTTCACAAACTCTAATGTCATCGCTGGCCCTTTGTGGCCAGTGCCTTCAGAAGAGCGCAGCAAGATCCGGATGCTTTTCTACTATGCTTGCTGTCCTGCGGGATGCTTATGGACAGAGTCGATCACAGAGTTCTTCAATGTCCTTAAAATGTAAATGGTTTTCAAGAGCAACTTCCAACCCGGACCAGAAGACGTAAGACGTGGACAGAAGAAATAACAGTATAATATTTAAGGGCTGCCGCCCCTGCCGCCGACCCCGGAAGAATTGGCAAGCCGTCAGAACGTATATATGGTACAGGCCTGCACCCCCCCCCCAAAAAAAATGGGGAAAGGATGTTCCTGGGACAGTTTTACACGCATTGTTGCCTGTTATGGTTTTTATGTTAAAGGGGAACGTGCGTTCCTTGGTGTTGATGTTTTTTGTGATGTATGTTGTAAGACATTTTTGGTAAAAACGTTTCATCCTAACCTTGTTGATTATTTTAGGGGAGTATCATTGATTGGGTCAGGATTTGTTGAGGTTGTTAGGGTTTTAAAGTTTTCATTTATTCAACTAAGATTTGAAAAGAAGGGAATGTATCATTAAGATTGTCTATTATTTCTTGATGACTTAACGGTTCTGTCACTTCTTCATTGTTTGATTGTTTTTGTGTTTTTCCATTATCTTTTTGTTTTTGACCGGAATTGTTGGTTTGTGCTCATGGTTTTTTCTTTCCATTTCTTTTTAGGATGGTGTGTCTGACCACCCTTGCGTGAGTCGTAGGCTTCGCAAGGAAAAAGGCACATCGTAATAATTGGGTTTGTGAAATGGAAAGAAAAAAACATGGGCCCAAGTCAGCAGCATCAGCAGCATCATTAGCTTCTGCTGCCTGCTGCTGCCTGCGGGCAGCTCCCCTTTGCGTCGGCCGGTCCCGTCTGAAATCCCAGAAAAACAACTTTTTTCGAGAATTTCTGTTGCCTGCGGCCGCTCGCAGGAAAACAACTTCGAAAAAAGCAGCTCCCGGCAGGAAAACACCATGGCTCTGAAGGACGAACTAGTTCCAAAACCACGCCAAAAAAGTGCCTAACGTCCCGTCTGAAATCCTAGAAAAACAACATTTTTCGAGAATTTCTGTTGCCTGCGGCCGCTCGCAGGAAAACAACTTCGAAAAAAGCAGCTCCCGGCAGGAAAACACAATGGCTCTGAAGGACGAACTAGTTCCACAACCACGCCAAAAAAGTGCCTAACGTCCCGTCTGAAATCCTAGAAAAACAACCTTTTTCGCAGGAAAACAACTTCGAAAAAAGCAGCTTCCGGCAGGAAAACACCATGGCTCTGAAGGACGAGCTAGTTCCAAAACCACGCCAAAAAAGTGCCTAACGTCCCGTCTGAAATCCTAGAAAAACAACCTTTTTCGAGAATTTCTGTTGCCTGCGGCCGCTCGCAGGAAAACAACTGCGAAAAAAGCAGCTCCCGGCAGGAAAACACCATGGCTCTGAAGGACGAAATAGTTCCAAAACCACGCCAAAAAAGTACCTAACGTCCCGTCTGAAATCCCCCGGCAGGAAAACACCATGGCTCTGAAGGACGAACTAGTTCCAAAACCACGCCAAAAAAGTGCCTAACGTCACGTCTGAAATCCTAGAAAAACAACATTTTTCGAGAATTTCTGTTGCCTGCGCCCGCTCGCAGGAAAACAACTTCGAAAAAAACATAAAAGCAGCTCCCGGCAGGAAAACACTATGGCTCTGAAGGACGAACTAGTTCCAAAACCACGCCAAAAAAGTGCCTAACGTCCCTTCTGAAATCCTAGAAAAACAACCTTTTTCCGAAAACAACTTCGAAAAAAGCATAAAAGCAGCCCCCGGCAGGAAAACACCATGGCTCTGAAGGACGAACAACCTTTTTCGCAGGAAAACAACTTCGAAAAAAGCAGCTCCCGGCAGGAAAACACCATGGCTCTGAAGGACGAGCTAGTTCCAAAACCACGCCA